GTAACTCTCAATGGAGAGAGGCTCTAGATTCCAAAGAGTGAGAGAAGGAAATAGATCAAGACCTGGAAAAGACAAGTCTCAGTAGAAACTGCAGTGCCTTCAAGGTGCAGTGAAATAAGAAGGAAAAGATGAGGGAAAGTGGTTACTGGGATTTACCTTCGTAGACTGAATAAATATGAGACTGTCCAAGTCTCATCATTCTGGAGGTAAAGCCCAGTACTCACTTTTTCTCCTCTGTTTCTTTCTATCCCATCATCCCTCACTGGAATATACTGACTCTCTTTGATGGCTATTGCTGAGTTTTCTCTTTTCTGTGATCTGTCCCTGTTAAACCCACTTGGGTTTTCACACAGGCTGGGATCAGAGAATTACAGGTGATGGGCAAGAAGGGCCTTTTAAGTTTCCAGCTTCTCAAGGGTTGAATTCCCAGAACTCTCATTAAATGAATTGTGCTCTTTCCCCCACCCCCAACTCTCCAAACAATTCCGCTCCCTTGGGGTACAAAATGATATCAGAATGAAAATTTTCAGCCAATTTTGTGTCCATGTAGGCAGCAGTAGGAGAAGATGGACTTATTTCCTCCAAGGAGAAACTTTTTTTCTTTGGTCTGATTTAAAAGTTACAATGTGTCTCCTAAGGAAAGTCTGAATTCCACAAGTAACTAAATCCAGGAACTAACTTTCTCTTATGTGCTCTCTTGGAGAGTCTTTAGAGGTTTGATGGACCACTTGGTGTCTGCAATTATATGCATGTAAAAAGGTCCTTGCTATATAAAATTATTTTTCTCTTAATTTTTAATAACTTTATTGAGAGATGATTGACATGTAAACACTGTACATATTTAATTTATATGACTCTCAGAATATATGAATATACTTGATAAGTATACATCTGTGAACCGTCACTGCCATCAAGGACCCAGACATATCCATATCCAAAGTATCCTTCCACCCCCATCTTGTTTTCATGTGTTGATAAAAACACTTAACATAAGATCTACCCTCCAAGCAAATTTTATGTACACAAAGCAACACTGTTAATTAGAAGCATTATGCTGTATAGAAGATCTCCAGAAGTTATTTATCTTGCATAACTGAAACTTTCTACCCTTTGGCCATCATCTTGCATTTCTCCCCTCCTTCAAGTCCCTCACAACCACTGTCCTACTCCAAAGAGGTCCTTTCTGAAGAAAAGAAAAGTGATTCATAGTTTTGTTTCTGTTGAAAGGACTCACAAGAAGAGGACTGATACATACCCCTCAACATTTGGTGGTGACATGGAGGCTTTTGTGGCTATTCAGAAGGTCTCCATTTATTACCCCCAAATAGAGGGGTAGGGGCAGAAATAGTCCAGGTGGAGAGGATCGAAGAGCGAGTATTGAGGAATTACAGGTGGGAAATATAAACCAACTGTAGAGTTTGCTGGGGAAGCGGAAGAGAGAACTCTTAAATTCGCTCTTAATTTTCAAGAATACAATATATTGTTATTAACCATTCTTGCCACGTTGTATAATAGATCTTTTGAACTTCTTCTATCTAATTGAAACTCTGTATCCTTTTTTCAACATCTCTGAAAGTCGCAATCTCCAGTCTTGGGTAACCACAATTTTATGCACTATTTCAATGACTTCAAATTATTACATTCCACGTACAAGTGAGATCGTGCAGTATTTGTCTTTCTGTGCCTGGCTTATTTTACTCAGCACAATGTCCTCCAGGTTCATCCACCATTTCATAAGCGACAGGATTTTCTTTTACTTGAATGATGAATATTATTCCACTGTATATATAGACCATATTTTTGTTATCCGTTCATCCATTGATAGATACTTAGGTTGATCTCATATCTTGGCTATTGTGAATAGTGCTGCAATGAACATGGGAGTGCAGATCTCTTTTCGACATACTGATTTTATTTTCTTTGAATATATGCTCAAAAGGGGGATTGTGGAATCACCTCATAGTTCTATTTTTAATTTTTGGAAGGAACTCCGTACTGTTTTCCATAATGGCTGTACAAACTTACATTCCCATTGACAGTGTGCAAGGTTCCCTTTTCTTCACATTCTCTTCGATACCTGTTATGATTTGTCTTTTTTGATAATGGCCATTCTAACAGGTGTGTGGTGAAATTCCATTGTGGTTTTACTTTGAATTTCTCTGATGATTAGTGACGTTGAGCATTTTTTTCATATACCTATTTGCCATTTGTATGTCTTCTTTTGAGAAATGTCTATTCAGATTCTTGGTACATTTTAAAAAATCAGGTTGGTATTTTACTTTTGAGTTGTCTGAGTTCCTTATATATTTTGGATATGAACACCTTATCACACGTGTTGCTTGCAAACACTTTCTCTCATTCTATAAGCTGCTAACATCGATTTTCAGTGAGTGTCTTGCAGTGGTTACACCTGAGAAGTCTTCTCAAGTCAAAAGGGTTTGACGTATATACCTTGTTCTTTGGTGAACAGAAACTGTTCCTAAGTGTATTTCATTTTCATGACTATCAGTTCCTGTTGTGATCTTGGCGTTTCTTCTTTTTAAATGAGAAAGAAATTTACATTTTTATTCAAAAAGTACACTAAGTCTTTAATTACTTTCAATTTTATACCTCATCCCCTTCACAGACCAATCTCTTTTTGTCTAAAGCAGTACTATCTAGCAGAAAAGAAAGTAAGATAAATATGTAATTTTAGGTTTTCTGGTAGCTGCATTAAAAACATAGGGAGAAACAAGCAGAATTAATTTTGATTATATGTGTTACTAAAACCAAACCATCCTATGTACAGTAGGTCCACATTTTATATCTATGGGTCCCACAGGGCCAAATGTGGTGCTTGAATATCTGTGGATTTTGATATCCACTGGGGGTCCTGAAACCAATCCCTCATGGATACAGATTATTTTTAACATGTAGGCAGTACAACAATTTTTATATTGTTTCAATTTTACAATTTGTATTTTATATTAAGTAGAATTGTAAAGTTAACATTTAGTTTCTCAGTTGCATTAACCACATTTCAAGTACTCAATAGCCACACGTGTCTGCATATTGATCACTGCAGATCTAGAATGGGGGAGCCCATTGATAGTAATTAGATAAAAATCAATTGATTCATTTAAGGGACTATATAGTTTTATTTTTTTTTAGAGGGAGTACAATTTAAGAATAACAGATGTAGAGAACCAGTAATCCTTTAATATCTAACATAAGTAATCCTTTAATAGCTAAACATCTCTAGTACTGTGGACAGGACTCTCCCCTAAAGAAAAAAAAATTGAACTCATAGCCACCATCCAAAGAAACATACAGAATCATTATGTGGAGCGGAATCTTGGTTTTTACAAGGGAGGGGTCCATTAACCCCCATGGTGGAGCCTGGCAAAATGATAATGCAAATTCCTTGTTTCAGCAGATGAACAATCAGCCCCACCACTCAAGGACAGCTCCCTAGCGCATCGTCTTTGGAGAGTTCATGCATTCAAAATATGACTGTGATTTTGATTTGAACTTATATTTCTTCAACACATCATATGACTGGCTCCTTCTCACATTCAAGTCCCATCTCAAATATTTCATGAAAGATTTCTCTCACTCCTATTTCTAAAGCAGCATATCCACAACCATATCTCTCCATCATATAACACTTTGATTTTCCCCACAGCACATGAACACCTAACTGAGATTCCATCCATTAACATTTTTAGTTACCAACTATGGCTTACACTATCTTTAATGACTTATCCAAACACTAGGAGGACATGACTCATTTTTATGAAATGACACCAAAGCATATGCTCTTCCATGTCCAACAGACTATTTTCTCTACTCAGTAGGGCTTCATTTTGTGCAACCAATTTCTCTAGAAACGTATATGATATAGTACATGATTTCTGGATGTATGCAGGGTATCAGCTGTGCCATCAAGTTTACATACCTATGTAGGTCTATCTTTGGACTCTATTCTGGCCCACTGTTTGGCTTTTCTTTTTTTTTTTTTTAAGTACAGACTTTACATAAGAAAGGACTATAGATGTTCAGCTATTAAAGGATTACTTATGATGTCTTCTTGAGTCAGTCATAATTGTTTATAATTTTCTAGGAGTTGGTCCATTTCATTTATGCTGTAAACATTAATATGTTTATAACATTCCCTTATTGATTTCTATCCTACTCTATACTTTGTTCCAGTTTTCTTTTATAATATTATTTGTATCGTTTCTTATTCTCTTCATCATTCTTGCCAAAGATTTAGGAGTTTTGTGAATATTCTCAGGAAATAAAATTTTGGACATACTAATGCTTGCTACTGTACATTTTTGTATTTAAATAATATTTGTGTGTATCATCATTATTTTTTTTTTACCTTTTTTGGATTGGCTATGGTGTTATTTTTATGACTTTTTAGAGTCCGTACTCAGTTAATTTACATTTAACCATTTTTCTAAAGAAGAAACTGCTACAACTTATAGATACCCCTTAAATACCACATTAGTTAAAATATGGATATATTAATATATTAGTTGCATTATATTAGCTGTATATACATACAAGAATATATGTCTATACACATATAAGTGTGTGTGCATGTGTGTGTATATATACTTTAATTACCTACCTATTATGATTGGGGAAAAATTGAATAATTACCAAAAAAA